AAAAAAAAAAGCTGTGCCCTCCCACTGTGGAGTGCACAGATCTGCTTTGGTCCTGTTGCCACCCATGACTGCTTCGTATGTAAGTCTCCCTAATAAACTCCTTTGCCACCACACTGGAGTTGCCCGCCTCTTTCTTTGGTCTCTCAGCACCCTCCAATTTTGGAGGCAAATTTCAAGTTACTGGTCCATGCCTGGACACTCTCTTCCTGCAGCAAATAAGAAAGTTAACTTTGTTGACTACAGATGGGTTCCTGGTGGTCTTTGATTGATGTGCATACACTCTCAACACCCTGAGCCATCACCTCATCCAGGGGCTTCCACTAAGAATTTCCATCTGAAATGACCCTCTTCAGGAAGCCCTCTGCTGTTTCCTTCCCACTTGTCTATCTAGTATACCCTTCTCCAATTCACGTCTAAGGGCCCAATGATTTATAAACTAAATTAAAGCTAAGTTGTTTGTGGCAGTGATGGGTGACTCCTCTTAAAATTTTTATGATTTAACATTTCATCAGTCCGCAGACAGGTACGGAGCACCTGTCATGGGGCAGGCAGGTGCTGGGTCTACAGCAGCAAGCAAGGCAGACGATGCCTGCTCCTGTGGAACAGTTAGATCCATAAGAATGTTTTTGGTTGCAAACCACAAGAAGTCCATCTCAAACCTGCTTAAACCTGAACAACATTATCTCATAACAGGAAGTTCAGAAACAGGACAAGTTCCAGGCGTATTTTGACTGGGACTCCAGCTCCATTTCTCTTGGCTCTGCCATTGGCCAGGAGGTTCTTTGCTTATGCTAGCCCCCCTTGTTGTCAAAAGATGGCTTCCAGCAGCAATTGTGACAACATATCTCCTGACATTCAGTGGAAAAGAAAGAAATCTTTGCAACCATGCACTAAGAAAGCCCTTTTCCTCACCCTGCCTAGGAAAATCCCTAGGCAAGTAGCAGTCACTGAGTAATGCCATGCATGAATGGTTCTAGTCTTGGGTCTCTGACATTCATTGCCAAGAATGATGCACTGTGGTTACCTGGGAGCCCAGGGGAGAGGAGATGAATGGTCACTGCCTTAGTTATCTAGCGCTGCTATAATAGAAATACCAAGTGGATGGCTTTAACAAATTTATTCTCTCACAATTTAGGAGGCTAGAAATCCTAACTCAGGGTGCCAACTCTAAGGGAAGGCTTTATCTTTCTCTGTTGGTTCTGGGAGAAGATCCTTGTCCCAATCTTCCCCTCGGTCTAGGAAGTTCTCAGTGCAGGGACCCCAGGTCCAAAGGATACGCTGGACTCCCTGCTCTTCCTTCTTGGTGGTAGTAGGTCCCCCTCTCTCTGCTTGATTGTTTATCTTGTAAGACCTAGGTAAGAATGTTGCATCCCATGCTAATCCTGCTTCACTGACATAAAAAAAGTAACCCAATCCTCTTTAACATGACCAAATCCTGCCTCATTAACATAATGGACAGCTCACTCCCCAATGGGACCATAACCACCGATATAGAAGCTAGGATTTACAACACATCACCAAATGGAGGATAATCACACAATACTGAGAATAATGGTGCGTATTTTGGGGGGACACAGTTTGATCCATGACACTCACTTCCTAAAGCACACAGTATAGAGTGGGGAGAGAAGGAGGTCTGAGCAAAATCGTGTTTTGGGAAGGTGGACAAGGAAATGGTTACTGGATAGGCAACCAACAATGTCCATGCTAAGGGAAGAAATAGAAAAACAAGTAAACAAGATAATTTCAGATAGTGAAAAGTGCTTTTAAAAAATATGAGACAGAGAGGTGGGGCCAACACAAAGGAGTAGTTAGACGCTTCCTGTGGTCCCTCTTACAACAAAGACCCAAAAAAACAAGTGAATCGATTATATATGACAATCTAGGAGCCCTGAACATGAAAGGCAAAGTTGAAGAATCGGACTGAGTGGCAGAGATAGGGAGAGATGGTTCGGAAGCAGCAAGGAGTTGCCAGACCTGACCTGGCAGGAACTGGCACCCTGCAGGCCAGATCGGCTGGCATGCGTAGTGGGGCAAGCAGTGGCGCTCAGGATGCATTTTCCACATCAGGAGAAACCAAGCGATGGAGAATCTACTCAAGTCTCCAGAACCAATGAAAAGCAGTGCTCAATCAGCAAACAATAAGTATGTGCATCTAACCCACCACGTGGATCAAAAAACACCCCATTTGGGAAGAACCTCTCGCATTTACCTGCCTCTTTTCCACTCTGCACCAGGTCCCGGGCCAGCTTCAGTGATTACCATGTCCTCTGGGCCAGAAGTAAGGCCCATCACGTGCCCCGAGCCATTCTCCCAGCCGTGGAGAGGGAACAAATTAACAAACAGGAAAAAATAATCTGCCAGCTCCCCTAAATTGGGAACTCAGGGCAGGCACAGCTCCTTGGCCTAGGCACAGGCATAAGGGGTCCACGGACTTTGAATGTCTTTCACACCTGCATAGGCCTGTGTGACCCCATTTCAACAGCATAGGCCCTCATGAGCACGATACAACAGGGTATCTACCTAAAGCCTAACTTCAACTATATCAGCTATATGGTAGAGTGGCAGGTTCATGACATCTGACACCGCTCTGCCCATTAAGCCGGGTCCTCAACTACCCACATCAGGGGCCTGAGGACTTGTGGCTCCACCCATGCCACCTAGCCACCAGTGGCAGGGGTCCAAGAATAAGTGATGCCTCTCAATCCTTACAGCCAAGAGAATGGGTGCTCATAGTTTGTCTGCAAACCCACCCACCTATATACTCTAGGGAACAGGGACATGCTTTCCTCCCAGATACTAAGGGGCAGCCATCAACCCCCAGCCTTGCTCAGAATGTGACCCCCAACTGCAGCTGGATACTTGTGCCTACTCCAATCACCCTTGCCCATCTAGGACTGTAGGTGAGAGCCTGCACCACACAGTTGGTGAGTGACTACCTGGACACATAGGCAGAATCCATACAAGAAAAGTAAATGGACTCCTGGGCTCACATACCAGGTAACAGATCTAATCACCTGGTGACAGGACGTTAGAACTTCAAAGGTGCCAGTAATCAAACTAGCTCATATGAGCAGCCTATTTAGGCATATCAAAACAAAAAGCTAGGACACAGTAAGCAAACATAAAATATATATGATAGGTTATTGATGGCTCAGAGACAATAGTCAATATCAAATCACAGAAAGAGGAAGACCATGATGGCTTTAGCAAGCCACCAAAACAATCAAAAATTTTCTGGAGGAACAGAACTTCTTGCAACTACTGGAAGTAGAATACAGAAGATTAATATACAGAACTCTTGAAGAGATCAGGAAGGAGATCATTAAAAATGCAGAAGAAGCCAGAGAACACACAGACAAAACAACAGAGGAACTTAAGATTATAGAGGACCATAATGACAAATTTAACAGGTTGCAAGAATCCATAGAAAGACAGCAAACAAATCCAGAAGATTAACAATAAAATTTCAGAATTACACAATGCAATAGGAAGTCATAGGAGCACAACTGAGGCAGTAACAGTCAGAATTAGTGAGACTGAACATAAAGCACTTGACACCAACTTATATGAGGAAAAATCAGATGAAAGAATTTGTTAAAAATGAAACTCTAAGAATTCTGTGGGACTGTATCAAGAGAATAACCAACGAGTGATTGGAGTGCCAGAACAGGGAGGGATAACAGAAAATACAGAGAAAATCTTTGAAGATTTGTTGGCAGAAACCTTCCCTGATATCATGAAAGATAAGACGATATCTATCCAAGATGCTCATCGAACCTCACATAAGGTAGATCCCAGAAGAAAGTCACCAAAACATATTATAATCAAACTTGCCAAAACCAAAGATAAAGAGATAAGTTTAAGAGCAGCTAGGGATAAATGAAAAGTCATCTACAAAAGAGAGTCAATAAGACTAACTTCGGACTACTCAGCAGAAACCATGCAGGCAAGAAGGCGATGGGATGACATATAAAAAGCTTGAAGGAAAAAAATTGCCAGCCAAGAGTTATATATCCAGCAAAACTGTCTCTCAAATAAGATGGTGTAATTAGGGGATTTCCAGATAAACAGTAGTTTAGGGAATTTGTAAAAACCAAACCAAAATTACAAGAAGTACTAAAGGGAGTCCTCTGGTTAGAAAATCAGTAACATCAGTTAACAACCCAAGACTAGAACAAAGGACAGAACAACCAGATATAAACCCAGGTAGGGAAGTCACAAAAATAAATAAAATCTAAAACACTGAAAATAGGGAAACAGAGATGTCAATGTGTAAAAGATGACAACATTAAAATAAAAAAGAGGGACTTAAAAATGTAGAAACAGATTTTTCATATGGAGAAGAAGTCAAGGCAATATAAAGAAATGA